CCCATCTCAATTCCTAGATCAGCCACTTACACAACCAGCTGCACAGAGGAGAGAGACATGGCTGCTCCCATCAGCACTTGGTCAGGAGAGGGTACATGTGACCTGGCCCTTTTAGAGGTTGGGTGAACAGTGTCCAGGCTGTGTGTCCTGTTCCAGCACAGAAAGCAGAAGAGAGCCTGCTGCCATCTCTGGGCACAAGGAAAGCTGGTAGTCCTGGTTTCAGCCCTTGGGGCTAATAACCTGCCCCTGGGAAAAGCAGGTGCCAGCAAGAGTCATGATCTCTGACTCGTCAGATTAGCCTCATCCTTTTTCCTTGGTCTTTGTAGAGGACCGAGTAAAAGGGAGTGAAGAGGTATGAGTGGAGGAGCCTTTCTGGATGAGTTGGGATGGAAATAGAAGGGAAGATCAGAAATGTCAGGCCAGAAGCACAGGAACAAAAGGCCCAGGTGCCTGGCTGCCTGGGGGGCAGGAGGGCAGCACCCCGGCTGACCACTGCAGAAGAATTGCACGCAGAGCCATGGCAAGAATGCCTGCTTTGTAGGCTTCTGTGAGGATCAAAACCTCACAGTATTTCTCATTCTCCACCTCGGTTTCCCCACCTCAGGTCCCCAACCACAGATAGAAAGTAACTTTTTGATCCATGTCATTGGTTGAATCCACAGATGCAAAGGGCTGACTGTAGTAGAATCACAAGTTATACACGGATTTTTGACTGTGTTCAAGGGCCAACTGTACTTTGAAATATGATATGAGAGACTGGTTTTCAGTGTTGACTGTGGAGTGATGGAACAAGGTCAGACACTTCCCTGAAAGCCTGTTCTATAAAGCAGAACACGGTGGGGCTGCTGTGGGTCAGTGGGGGTGTGGGGCCTGAAGCTTCACCTGCTGCTCCCCGACCCCTCCGCAGTCTTCCCTGAGGTCTGTACTCAGGGGGGTTCAAGGTGGAACCTTCTGGGGCTCTAGGGAGTCCTGGCTTTGCCCTCATTGGCCCCAGACAACTCACTGAAGCATTCTGAACCACAATTTCCACTAAATGGACGGGCCAGACTAGACCAAAGCATTCTTCACCCAGTTCCTATAATAAGGGTTTTGACATCCGTGAGACGTGCAGTATTTTGTGTGTTTTTGTTTTTGTTTTGTTTTCGGGAGAGACTTGATACAGTTTTGTTTTGTCAGCTTCTTAGAAGGATCGTGTTCAACCAAACATTAAGGAGCACTGTATTGATTTTTGAGGTCTTTCCCAGTTCTATCAGTCAGTTATTTCTGTTGTATATGATAGAATCGCCCCAATTTAAACTGGCTTACACTGCAAAGGGAAGTTAATGACTCCGGGACCTGAAAAATCCCAGAGCTGGCGTGACTGGAGTCAGCATTCAAGTACTCTTGTCAAGATTCCACCCTTCTCCACGTCTGGGCTCTGCCTCTCTCAGCCTCAGCTTCATTCTCAGGTGTCCCACTCCCACCTCCAGGGATCAAAGTAGCCCTCAACAGCCCCTGCCAAGTGTCCCATCCCTTTTCCCCAGTGATTCCAGCAAAATTTCCAGGGCCAACTCTGATTAGCCCTGCTTAGGTCACATGTTTCTCCCAGAACCCATCACTGTGGATGAGGGGAGGAGCCACTCAGGCTGGGAATCAGGCTGGGATACCCTCTTAGCCCCAGGTTTTCTCATCATCTTGGCCCTGTCGTTGTAACGTATGGGGCAGGTGGACCGGGGCTGTTGCTCTGGTGGCTGTGCTGGGACATCTTGGGTCCTGGACAAATTCCTGTTTCTATTGCCTGTTTCCACTTCTGCTGCCATTTCCACAACCCCTTGGCCTCTTCCTCTCTGCCATGGCCCCTCCCATGTATGAGGGTTACCAGACTGTTGGACGTCACAGCTTCCTCCAATTGTCAGGAAGTCGATTCTCAACTCAGAGAGACAGAGCATCACTGCACACCACTGCTGATGTGTCTTTCAAGAGCCATGTGCATCACTCTAGAGAGAGGAAGGGAGGGAGATAAGAGTTACAGAAAAGCAATTTCCATTGCTGTTTAAAAGGCAGCTATTAAAATTTTACAGCTTTATTTGCAGGGGCTTTCTGATCATCTGAGGAATTTTTTAAATGGGGAGTCTGGTGATAAAGGAAAATGTTCTGAGTACTTCTGGTTTCCTCCTGCCCTGCCAAGGATCTTGAAAACCAAAATTGTTAAGTCTTCATAGACCAGCTTAGGAATAGCACCTACCTGAGAGGCTATTTCTGAGTTTTTTTAAAGTATGTGTTTTCTGTATTGCTGTTTCTGTGTATAATAACTGTTTTTTTAATTTTACTTTGCGCTTTCCTAAGTGGCTTGGTAATGAGCTATGGGAATCATCAAGAACTACAGTTGCCTCTGCCTTTCCATGTGAGTTGAGAATCATTTAGTTGTGTGAACAAATACAAATTCAGGTCAACCTGCTTAAGTATAAAAGGAAATGTATTGCCCTGGCTGGTGTAGCTCCATGGATTTAGCACCAACCTGGGAACCAAAGGGTTGTTGTCCAGGTCCCCAGTAGGGGGCATGCGCGAGGCAACCGCACATTGATGTTTCTCTCCCTCTCTTCCTCCTTCACTGCCCCTCTCTCTAAAAATAAATAAATAAATCCATACATGTATTAATAAATAAATATATTTATAAAAAAGGAAATGTATGGATTCACAGTCAGTGACAATGTAAAATACATATAATGTCTTCAGGCATGGCTGGATCCAGTGCCTCTCCTAAGGCTACCAGGACCATTTCCTTCTACCTCCCAGCTCTGCATTTTTCTGTGTTGATTTTAAACTCAGGCAGCATCTTAGGCAGTTCCACATGTATATCCAACCATCTTAGCAACCCCAAGGGAAATAATCTCCTTCCTGTAGTCCCGACACAGGTCCTGAGACTGGTGTTCATTGGCCAGGGCCAAGGAAGGGAGGGTATAGTGGCTTTATTAGTTAGGCCTGGATTATATGACCATTGCCCCCTTCCCTACTAACCCATGGGCAGGTTATTCCCACAGGAATTCCATGGGTGAGTGTGAAAGGTGAGGCTCAGGGTGCTGACCCAGAAAGGCAAATGATGCACTGTGAGCCCAAACAGCCAATGCACAGGACCCTTCCCCATACGAAGTTCCCAAGGATCTGAGCCTGCCCTCACCCCCAAATTGTTATCTTCCCTGGGAACACACTTCGTCTTGTCCCTGTCTCAGGTCTAGCTTAGGGGTTCTTGATCTTAGGACCGTGGACCCTTGAAGGGTCCATGGATGGAGTTTAGAGGATTGCAAAGTTGGCTGGGGAAAAAACTACATCTTTATTTTCTCTAACATCTAACTGAAATTTGGCATTTTCTTTCCTTCTGAATGAGGACCACAGGCGACACTTGTATTAGCTACACCTGAGACTGTCACCACTAGAAATCAAATATTTCCATATCACATTGTAGTTGTTGCAGCTGTTTCCAAATTATTATAGTTATTGGATCCACAACTGAGATTTCACAATTTAAAGCATTCATAAAAAATCACATGTATCACTGTATCTCAATTTTGGTTGTGTTTTCTATATATTTTGATATCTAAATATAATTGGTTTTCTTTGTAATCTTTGTGTATTGTATTTTACACATTTAAACACATGATTCTGAGAAGAAATTCATGCTCTGCTCTACCAGGCTGCCAACCTAGCATGAGAAATATTAACAACCCTTTTGGCTTATCCAGGAGTCCCTTCAAAATTATTGAAGCTGTTGTGATTGCTGGGCCCTGGAAAGTTGGCTTGTTAGGTTTCCTTCCTGGGAAGCTTCCTGGAGGAGGTGGCTGGCATTTGAGCTCGGCCTTGGCTTGTGGGCAGCTTTTGGACATGGTGTATTGGGCAAGAGGGGCGGGGAGGCATTGTCAGCCTGTGGTTAGCCCTCTCTTCATTGACTGCCATCTGGCCAAGTGGTCAGGAGCGGACTCTGGTGCCAGGCTGCCTGGTTTCATTCCAGCTATATGGCGTACGTTTGACCAGCTGGATGCCTCAGCTAGTAGGTTCCTTACCCACTCCATGCCTCAGTGTCCTCATCTGTAGCATGAACGTAATAATAGTACCTATTGCTTAGGGTTATCGAGAGAATGAAATGAATCAGCACATGTCTCCTAGGACAGAACCTGGCCATAGGGAGTGAGAGTTATTATTTAGTGGCCATCTGGTATAGGAAGGTGCTAGATTTTCCTCTCAGATCCCATCTCCCTGACGTAGTAAGTTCCTGGCCGAAGCTGAAATGGGTTGGTGATCAATATAGATAGTGGTTTCTCAGCCTGAATACATTTATTCGTCATGAAATGTCCATTCAAATATGAACAACTATACTAAATATTTTAAAGCATAAATTAATAATATAAACTTTCCTTGAAATCCATTCAAATATAAACAACCATTAATATTCAAAAGCATAAATTAATAACATAAAGTTACAGGTCAGAACAAGCACTATTTCTCTGCCACTCCTCACAAATGTCTGAAAGAGATGTCCTCATAATGGCCTACCATCTGCCCCTGTCACCTCCATGTTCTCATCTCCCACCACTCATTCCCTCACTCACCTGCACCAGGCCCCTGGGCCTCTTGCTGATCCTCAAATGCTCTGTGTACAAACTCCTGCCTCAGGTCCTTTGCACTGGCTATTCCGGTGACCTGGAAGTTCTTTCTCAGTTAGTCACATGGTTTGTAGTCCCCTGTGTTCACGTGTCTGTCCTCTCCTCAGGCCTTCTCCGACCACTCTGTGAAGTAGCAGCCCCATCACCCTCCTTACCCTGCTCCCTGACTTCCTGTTGTGTTGTCTTCCTCCCCTGCTGGAATGCCTGCCCTCTGAGGACAACAACCTTGTCTCAGTCACTGGAGTTCCCTGGTTGCCTGGCGTGGAGCAGGTGCTCAATAAATATTAGTTAAGGGAGTGGATGAGTGAAGAACAGATGGGTACTGCAGCCAAAGACATGACCTTGTTTTTCCCCTCTCTGTAGATGCGCAGTCTTTGACATCAGCTCTCCTGGGACCCTCAAGGGACACTAGAGTCCAGAATATACTGAGGGTGAGTACAGTATGGCTGCTTGTCTGCTCAGATGTTACAACTGGTACACCTAAGCTTCTTTATTATTAAAGAAAATTATTTGAAAGAGTGTCGAGGGAAAGACGGAAGTCTCCTTCACTGCTTCCCTGTGTCTTCACTGCCTCTCTGTACCTACAAGCGTAATATCTCTCAGAGGCAGTAATGTCAGAAGTTGGGTGGGTACCCCACCAGACCCCCTCCTGTTCACGAACACCTCCACTTACATGCGCGCACTTACTGTTTTGCTTTACAAAGGAAAGGGCCGTGCTGCGCAGCTGCCTCTGCTGCAGTTTTCCACCGTCTCCAACAGTCGTGTGCCTCAGAAGTCTTTGTTCATGGCATACACAGTATGTCACAGTCTTTTCTCTTTCTTTAACTTTTTTAATTCATTTTTTCTTAATTTATAGAAAATAAACTTCACTCTGTGGCACACAGTTTGTGTGACTGTCACCACCGTCACAGTGGAGAGCGGCCCTGTCGCCCACCTGTGTGGACGCGCCGCTCCCCATAGGCCAGAGCGCAGTGTAGGTGTTCACACACAGTTAAAATATGTGAACATCGCAAATATCTGTAATATAAAAAGTTTGACTGTTATGTGTAGGTTTCTGGGGGATTTGTTAGTGAACACTCTCTTTTGTTTCTTCGGGATAGAGTCTAAGCAGGCGAGTGGCCTCACAGTATGTGGCATTCCCGTTGGCGTGTGCCCAAGTGGGGCACCAGCCTCCGCTGGCGGGATGCGATGAGGGTGCTTCGGAGGTGTCGTCTGGTCCCCGAAGCACCAGGAGACCCTGCCAGTGTGGAAGGTGGGAGGGTGGAACATTCTGGCGTCCAGACTGTGGGTGGTGGGCAGTGACGTTGGCCCAGTTGCAGAGACTGGCCTCTTGAGTTTTGGGAACTGAATGAACCTGCACGGTCCCTCCTCTCCTGACTGTGCACTGGGCACTGTCCCACTCCTTCCCTCTGGCCCGAGGCTCTGCCTGGATTCCAGGAGCTTGTTTGTGGGACAGTCTGTAGGGGCCAGATTTTCATCAAAGGATGCTTTTCAGCACAGTTCTTCATTTAACTTTTTTATTCTGAAGGAATTTTAGATTTACAAAGTGTTGCAAAAATAGTACAGAGAATTTACAAACATATAACCATCACCCAGTTTCCCCTAATATTCCCATTTTATGTAAGTTTAGTGCAAGTATCAAAAGCAGGGAATTAACACTGGCCCAGTAGGACAGACTAGGTGACAGATTTCAGTCAAGCTTCACTCGTGTTTCCACTGATGTCCTTTTTCTGTCCCAGGACCCTGTCCAGGGTCCCACATGGCATCGAGTTGTCATACCTCCTTAATCGACTCCAGGCTGTAACAGTTCCTCAGTCTTTTCCTTGGAAGAGGGCGGCTCTGTTGATTGTAAAATGTTTCAATTTGGATTTGTCTCATGTCTTCCTGTGACTCGATGGAGGCCGTGAGTTATTTGGCGGAACACCACAGTGGTCGTGTGCCCTCTTCAGGGCACGGGCCAGGGGGTCCGTGGTGTCCATATGTGTTCCCACCGGTGCTGTAAACCTGCGTCACTTGTTACGGTGCTGCTGCTGGGCTTCTCCACCGTCAAGTAACTGTTTTTCCCTTTGTGATTGATAGATATCTTGGGGGAGTTACTTTGAGACAATGCTTATTTCTCCTCACTTCCGCTAACTTTGGCACAGAGGTGAATCTTGCCTGAACAGTTACTATCATAGTATTTCCCTAATGGTGATTTTTGTATGTTCCTCCTTCCTTCTGCATTTATTAATTGTCCACATAATTAATTATGAAAGGAAGACCTGTTCCTTCTCATTTATTTCAGCTTTTGGTTATTAACATATTTCTGTATGGCTTCAGAGATACTCATCTTATTCTAGCACATTCCTGGTTAATATGAAAAGTCCCAAGTTCTGAGTTGAATTTCTAGTATTGCCTCTCTAGCTTCAGAAAAACCAACTTTTTTTCTACATGTTAAACCTTAGGGAACTGGAAAGCAGGAACTAGGGTTTCACTTGGTTATACATTTGCTTCAAAACAAGTGAATGCAGATCGGTTGTTTGGGGACAAGTAGCTACAGAGATGAGTAAAGCGGGAAGGGGACTGACTGGGAGTCACCAGGGGCGACTTTAGACAAGTTGATCTGGAAAGGTCTCTCTGAGGAGGCCCTGAGTGGAGGGAGTAAGGCAGGTGCCCAACCTAACCTTCCACCTCCCAGTGGGAGATATAAATGAATTCTCCCGTTCCAGATCAGGGTTTCAGGATTCATGGCAAACAGAGAAATGTGTCCCCTCTCTGAGCAGCAGCTCCTGCTTACCTGCAGCTCATTTGTTACCCTGGGGAAGTGCCAAGTATTGCCAAATCATCTGATATTTTTCCCCAATAAGACAGAAATGAGGTATTCTTGCTAGTCTGTCAAACCCAAACTATGTCAGATAATTTTTAGTGGTATGTGGATGAATATATTTTGTTTTCATTGTATTTATTGAGTTACCTTTGTAGCAGAGGATTTCTATTTTGCTTTTTGGTGGGAATGCAGATTCCCTTTTAAATATATGTGTATATATATGTAAGTGTAAAATGAGTTGATTTAAAGAAAATATTGAGTAAATAATTGTACAGATGGGATATAGATGCAACTGAAAAGGAAGGGCGGAACAGAGTGACTGAGCTTTGGTGCACACTGTTCTGGCTCGGCCCTTCGCGCTTTCTCCTCGCCATCTGGGGTTCTTTACTGGGAACCTGAACTGAGTTTGGCAGACGAACTGTGGGCATGCGCCCCGAGCCATTTGTGTCAGGGTGGGTGCATCAGCCAGGAACACTTTCAGCTGCAAGAACAGACAACCCAGCTCACAGAAGCTTAAACAAATGAGGATTGATTTCCTTCCCATCACAGTCAACCTGGAGGTAACATGGCTGCTATTAGTCAGGGGGCTGAGTGATGATGTTCAGGCTGTAATCTCCAATTCTCTTGGCCTTCCCCTCATGGTCCTATGGTTACTGCTGCAGTTCCAGCCAGAACAAAGAAGGGGAGACTTAACTCCAGTAGCATGTGTTTTTCAGTTCTGGAGTGCTTAAGCACTTCCAGAATCCCCCCGAAGATCCCACTTACATCTCGTCGGCCAGAAACGGGTCACGTGACCTTCCCTGGCTCCAAGGACAGTGGGAATGTCAGCTTCTCCTAAGGAGGAAGCCAGAGAAAAGGGGAATTGAAAGTGTCAGTTGGGTTGGCAGCCAGTAGCATCTGGCTCCACAGGGGAAGAAAAACAATAATAATTAGCATTAGTGGGTACTGACTGTGCCAAGCCCAGCTGTAAGACCTTTACATGCATGATCTCATTCTGTCCTTACACCCAGGCTATGACGTCACTGCTGTGATCTCCCCATAGGAGTGACTTGGAAACTGAGACACAGAGCAGTGAAGTCACATGCCAAGTAGAGAGCAGTGTGTCTCCACAGCCCTGACTCTTGGCCACTGCACTTCATTGCCTCATAAGAGGTCCTGGGCACCCAGACGACTACCTAGCTGGCCTCAGCTTAAATTCTTCCAGCAAGGGAGGAGGAGGGCAGTGTATTTTGCTTTGGGGAAATTTTGATTATTAAGAACTTTTCTTACGAATTACATTTGCTCTGTGTAACTACCTCTCACTGGTTCTGGTTTGGTCCTGGTGAGCAGCCCCAGCACTTGTCTTCCTGGCAACCCTTCAGGTCTGGCAAGTAGCTAAGAAGACTTCTCTTGACCTCCCTTTCTCAAACAAATTATACCTGTGCTTTTCATTATTCTTCCCAGGATAAGGCTTCCTGCCTTGGGGTTCTTTCTTTCTCGGGGCTCTGCTGGTTGACTCAACACATTTAATATGTGCCTCCTCTGTGCCCATCCCTGGTAGTGCTGAGTTGTGCCTGGTGGGTCCTGTACTCATTGTACTTCTCATTCAGTAAGGGAGGCAGGCCCTCAATGATATCCCAGCATGGTCAGGGCTGTATCAGGGGAGCTGGGGGACAATGGGAGCCCAGAGGAGGTGCCCAGCCCTGCTTGAGGATCAAGAAGGGTTCCTGCAAGCATCTTTGGGCCTTAGAAGAATACAGATGCATCAAATAACAGCTTTTCATTTCTTAACCTCCACTCCCTTCCTCTGTAAAATGAAGGATTTGCACTTAGGTTTCCATCCATCCATTCACCCATCCATTCAACAAACACTGACTGGGCATATCTCATTTTTTGACTTACAGGGATATCCTTCTGGAAAGATGGTGCCCTGAGAGCTTCCGTTCCCCCTAAGGTTGTCTTGAGAATGAGAAGGTGATTATGAATGTCAAGTACTCAGCAGTGCCTGGCACAGAGTTGTCACGTCATAGAGGAGATGGTGGCAATACCAGTGACTTACATTCATTAGCCCCTACTGCATGTCAGAGCTAAGGCAGCTTAGTCACCAGCCCGTAAGATAATAAACTGAGCTGCTGCTGTTGCGGTTGTTTATTCCCCAAGCTTGGATGGTACCTGGGTAGGGCAGAACTGGGCTCTGGGTACAGAGCTCGTGCAGTTGAGGCCTGGGCCAGAAATTTTGCAGGAGAAGACAGGAGTTTCTTTGGTCTGTTTAGAAACCCACAGCTGTCGTCCTCCCAGTCCCCTTTCCATCTAGTCCTCGGGCCTCTCGGCACTGGCCAGCAGTACATGGACTGCCCTTGACCTCTGTGGCAGAATGTATAGATGCTCTGCTCAGCCCATCAGTTGAGTCCCAAATTCGACCTGACAGTAAGATTTATTTTCTGGGATAGAGCTGGGAGGGCAGAGCCCCAGTGGGTGATTCCACAGAAAGGCTGTCAGCACGAATTAGTCTAGGCCCTTCATGTACCCTTGCTGTTTTGGCTTCCTCTAGTTAATAGAGCTTTCCAGGGTATTAGGGCTTCTGAGCTGCCTCCTCCCATGCCCAGGGGCTGATGAGACTTAGCTGTGATGCCTTAAGGAGCTGTG